GCAGTGTCACTGGCCCTCATATGTTGGATCCGAACCGGGGCCCTCTGGCGTCCCAAGCCAGTTCTTAACCATCGCGCCACTCGGCCGGCCCTAAGTGTTCCTTTTTTTATTGTCTATCTCCCAGCACCTAAATGTCTGCCAGGTAGTAGCTACTCAATAAATGAGTTGAGGGATGACTGATTGTACAAAGGAATGCAGGAAGAACCCAAGTTCAGAAGCCAAAGAGGCCTAAGCCATACTAGACCGTTTTGTAATTTTGTGAAAACTGAAGACTTCCTGGAACAGCTCTGGACACTATAGGAAATGTGTGCAAAGGATACGAACTTCGATAATGTCTCTCAATATCTTGCAACCATTCCAACATGTCAGCCACAGAGGGGCTCACAACTGAAGCCTGCAGGACAGCATCAATGCCGATTGTGTCTGCATGCTGCTCATAGATCTGAAGCACTTGTCCCACGTGGCTGCTGACTGTGTCACGCACCTTGAGGAGGGCAGCTCTGAGGGAAAGAGTCTGACATTAGGCACCATCATGAGAAAGGCCTAAGGCAAGTTTCCTCAACCTTGGCACACTGACATTTTGGACCAGATGGTTGTGTGGGAGGCTGCCCTGTGCATTGAGGGATGTTTAGCAGCTTCCCTAGTCTCCACCCACTAGATGCCAGGAGCAAACCATGCCCCCAACCCTCCCCAAGTTGTGACAATCAACAGTGTCTCCAGATAGTGTTAAATGTCCCAGTGGGAAAAACTGCCTTCAAATGAGACTTGTTTACCTAAGGAGACTGGTTACAGTGGCTCAAGACTTAAGAATTGACTTAAAGATGGAGAGGCTGAAGAAGTGACATGGCTCTCAAGCCTGTGTGATAAGCCCAGCTGCCAAAGAAATTAAAGACCAAGGGGCTTTTCTGGGGTTGCCATAAGCTGTATAAGGAGTAACTGCTCACACAGTCCCACACCACGTATGTGAAAGGGAATCACCAAGAAGAAACTGAAGCAACAAACCAGTACTATCCATGTGCTACCTAGCCCATCTTAGTAAGTTCTTCCAATTCATTATCGTTTAGGCTCTCGATGCACACAGACTACTGTGGATCTTAGGAAAGTTACTTATTGACAATCATGTATAAAAACAGTCTGTTTTGCTTACTGTACATCCTAAGTACCTAGAACACTGACTGGCAATATAATAATAAACACTTGCTGAATGAATGGAAAGGGTGACTGTGAAGGTTAAATACAATAATGCATATAAAGTGCTTAGGTTAGTGCCTGGCTTACAGTTAATATTTTTATTATTCCACTGGTGACTCCAAGGGGCCCAGCCACCAAGACAAAGGCTACAACGTCCCCAAACGCAAGGCATTCCCTAGCTTAGAACCGTGGCTTTCAAAATGTTTGGCCACAACTCGCAACTGAAAAACAGATTTAAAATAAGAGCCCAGTACCCACACACAACCACGTAATTAATTGAAATAAAAGTTCACTATTTCAGTTAGTTCACTGATTGTCTCTCTTCTACTCAACTAAGGAACTAAGTCTGGTTCATTGTTGTATTCCCAGCACCTTGTGCTTGGCATTCCATTGATGCTTAATAAATGTATTCTGTACAACTGAATACAAAGAAGGTCCCCATTTTTTACAGTTTCCTATTAGTCTATGGCGCAGACTATACGCTAGAACCTTCTTTTGTTCTGGTCGAGGAAAGGCCACATGTGCCCTGTCTTTTCTCTGTCCTCGTAATCTCTGTCCTCTAATCCATAATCGCTCTAAGATAGAGAGTCTAACATTAGGCATAATAAGGGCTGAGAGATGTGCTGCTCCTGGACCCAGAGACACTAATGTACAGCAGAGCCAAGTAGCGGGTAAGAGCTCTGGCCTTGGTGGCAGGCACACTGGGGTTAGAATCTCAGCTTTACTATTTGCTGTGAGACCAGAGGCAATCTGCTTGAACCTGTTTGCTTACCTGCAAAATGGGATTAAATGAGGTTAAGTCACAGAGGTGTTGAAAAGATTTTTATGAAATAATGTATGTAAAAACTCTTAGCTCTGGCATCCACCAAGTTTATAGTCTACAGTTGACCCTAAACAACACGGGCTTGAACTCCGCGGGTCCACTTATAGGCAGATGTTTTTCAATTGACCCTTGCAGTTCAAAGTTGAGTTGTTCGAGGGTCCACCCCCTGGTTGCGTATCCACGCATGCAGAGGCAGACTGTAGTTACACCAGGATTTTCCACTGTGTGGGAGGTGGGCACCGCTAACCCCCGCATTGTTCAAGGGTCAACTGTAGCTCCTCACTGTTTTTTTACCAAAGACAACTATAGAGGAGAACTAATAAGCTTTCTCCACTGCGTTTTGTAACTTCTACGAAGTCCACCACTGCCATGCCCATCCTTTGACAAGGGAAATGCCATAAACGGCTGTCTGACAGGGGTCCCACTGCAACAGATGCAAAACATGGAAGGCTGAGACGCCTCCAAATGCCATGCTCTCGGTAAAGAGGAAAACACCCTCCTGACTGATCCTAGCCACTTATAGAGCACCCGCTTTTAAAATTCCGCCAAGAAAGAGCGCCATGGAGCCTCTTACAGCTTCTCCCCTAGCTTGTCCAGGGCAGTGTCACCGGCCTCCAGCTGCTTGCGCCTCAGCCGCTCCTTTAAATCTGGGAAGACCCGAAGTGACGGCACATCCTCAAATCGCAGATTCTGCGCCGCCTGCAGCTGCTCGGCCAAATTGCTGAGGGAGGCCAGGAGGGGCTGGCAGTCCCTCAGCGTGTCCTGCCACAGGCCCTGCTGCTCCTCCACCACGGGAAAGCACTTCTTCAGGGCCTCCTGTACAGCAAGCAATGGTCGGTCCTGGGTCATCTTCTGCTGAAAAAAAACCAAAAAAACCCAACAGAGAAACAAACAAACAAACAAACAAACAAACAAACAAACAAACAAAAAACCAGCATTCAGGTCCCAAGTCGGTAGAAGTACCGGGTCAAGGGTAGGAGTTATTTCCGTTCTCAATGAGTTTCAGCTAAACTAGGGTTTCCTCAGGTAGGGCTGTCTATCCCTTCCGACAGGAGCTCCTGGCGCGAGGCGCTCGCTGTCTTACCTTTAGAGGAGCTCTCGGAAAGCAGGGCCCGCGTCTCCCACCTCGGGAAGGGTTTCCCGACTATCCCTCGGAGGAGGCTCTTTTGGGGCTAAGACAATCTCCTGTGGCAGACAGCGGATTCCCGGGGCTGAAACCCGGTCTCCCCCGCACCGGACCCGTGCTTCCAGAGCCGGAATCTTGTCTCCTCTCCTTGAGACTGCTGGCCGCTTTCCTTAAACCCGCGGGAAAACTTAAAGCAAAGGCCATCCAGGTTTGAGGACCCGCCAAAGCAGCCAGCCTGCGCCCGCAGTGCCTCTGCGCATGCCCAAACACAGCTAAGTCGAGAAAATATGTCGTATGACCGCAATGCTTTCTGGGTGCTGTAGTTCTACGTGTGAGCCGGCTGCCTGATTGGGGAGCTTCCTTGTGATTGGATGTCGTGGACCCTCCCTTCTAAGACCGCGACTTTTCATTCGTCAGCCTGTGGCAGTTTGAATTTGCTGACGGCGGTCTCACGTCCTGTTAGCCACCGGACCGCTCCCTTTCAGCTTGAGCAGCGAGGTCTTTCTCAGCCCTTGATTTGAGACCCGCAGGTACGTTACTCGCGACTCCTTTAGCCCAGGCCCCGAAGGGCAGCCCTCCCCACCCCGCATTAACCCCCTGGGGCGTCCGTTCGTCCTCTCGCGCCCCTTCGCGGCCCCCTTACTTTCCCTTGCCCATCTCCGCTACTGACCCCTGTGGCTCGGTCCCCCGCTCCCTACAGCCTCCACCGAAGCGCCATGGCTCCGGCTAGGAAGGGCGGCAGTCGGGTAACCAAGACCAACTCGTTACGGAGCCGGAAGCTCGCCTCCTTTCTTAAGGACTTCGATCGTGAAGGTAAGGGGCGGAATCGGTGTTGTCGCGACTATCGGGGGCAAACGCGGGGTGCTGGCGGATTGGGCCGCAGGCAACGGGGATTCACGGTGGTTCCATTCACCCGCCGGGTGACCCGTGTTCTGTTGACTTGGCCCTCTCGCAGTGCAAATACGATCCAAGCAAATTCAGTCAGACAAGCAGAACCTCCTCAAGGAGATGGATAACCTGTACAACATCGAGATCCTGCGGCTCCCCAAAGCGCTGCGCGAGATGAACTGGCTCGACTACTTCGGTAAGGGCTGCGCGAGTTCCCGCAGGCCTCGGCCTTGAGCCCCTCTGTGGTCACCGTGACAGTCTTCTCCTTAGGTCTTCCGTGATCAGTAGAGGAAATCGCAGCCCTGTAGCTTTCCACAGCTCCCTATCTCGCTTCCCTTCTTTTCCGCCCCTCTTAGCACTTAACCATCATTGACCCCTGCGGGTAGTCAACAGTTTCCTCTAAAAGACCAAGCAGTAAATATCTTAGGCTTTCTGGGCCAGAGGGTTCTCTGTCCAACTACTCAGCTCTGCTGTTACATTTCCAAAACAGCTGTAATGAATGGGCATGGCTGTATGCCAATAAAACTTATTTATGGACACACTGATATATGAGTTTCACATGTCAAGAAATAGTCTTTTTTTTTTGATATTTTATCCAGCCATTTACAAATGAATGAATGAATGAATGACTTGGTTTGTTACCAGAGCTCAGATGAACGATGCTTTCTGAAGCTTATGGGAATTGCCAATTTAAAATGAGCAAATCAAATTGTGAAATGCAAGGACCTAAGAGCTTTCCTGGCCAGAGAAAAATCCCAGTGGGTAACCTACCCCCTTGTTAAATGTCCAAGGAAATGGAAGAGACTGCCCTTTCTGCTGGGTTACCCTTTCTCTATTTTTTAAAAAAATTATTAATTCCTCAGTATTTAGCCTCCTTCCTGGATAGAAATGCATGTTCTGCTCAAATAGTATTTAGTAATCTTTTTGGCTTGCCTTTTTATTTATTAATCTGTTTGCACATTTCTACAAATATTCATTGAGCATGTGTCAGTTCCAGTGCTAGGTGCTAAAGATGCATTGGGGAATAATAACAGACATTGTCCCTGATCTCAGGAACTTACAAGTTAGTAGAGAAGAATCATTTAAAAAATTCACACGATTATATAATTAAAGTAATAAGCACTACAAAAGAGACAGAATAGAGTAGTGGTCAGTAAGGTAACGAGATGAAGGCACAGAAGGGTTGTTTACATTGCCTGAGATCTCATGAACTGGTTAGTAACAGAGTCTGTCTGAATACAGGCATGTTCTGGTTCCAAAGCCTGAGTTCTTAACTGTCATACAGGATACTATGCGAGTTTCTAGCATGAGGACCTAACCTAACTTTATTCTATGTCTAAGCTTGCATAGACCTCTTCATTCAACACCCATTTACTACATACCTACTGTCTGTCATGTTTCCGCTAGAAACTATGGATATTATCCCTGTCCTCAAGGAATTAAGTTCAAGATGGGGTGGACACTTAAACCGCTTTGAGTAGTTGTTGGGTATGGTGAGAATGAATAACTAACTCAGCACTTCGCAGTAAACTGCTGTAATAGAAAAATAAGCGGAGGGTTGGGTTTGAGCTGAGTTTTGAAGGACGAATTAGAAATCTGTTGGGTGCAGAGGAACTAATAAGTACCAGGCCACTGAGTCATGAGAGACAGTGGCACATTTGGGAATAACAGGAACGTTGATGTGGTGGGACATAGACTAGGTCGTGAGGGGAAGGGGTCAAGCCTGGAGAAAGACTGGACTAGATTACGAAGGTCCTTGATTGTTGGACCAAGGGCTTAACCTGGTCCAGTTTTAGAAAGATAACTGGTCACATGAGAAAAGATGATTTATCATGAAAATCTGATCGTAACTAAACAAAATGTTCTTTTTAAAGCCCTGGGAGGAAACAAGCAGGCCCTGGAAGAGGCAGCAACAGTAAGTGACCTGTCCTATTTTGGAACTGTGGGTTAGTTTTTTTTAAGTTGGGTCTGCTCACAAAATCCAGCCAGTGGGTGCTTACTGTGGAAGAGGTTCCATAGGGGACATTATCTGTTTGTGTCAACTGAGAAATCACAGTTGTCAAATGCTGAGTTTCAGATGAAGCTCATATAGTTTTGAGCCCTAGGAAGGGAGGCAGTTCTATGTTGGGCAGGTTCTTTATAGCCCTTTGCCCTGACCTCTTCAGGAAAAGTAGAAAGCCTCAAGTCCAAGTTCCTGTAAGCCCCTGGGTCATAAAATGGTAACCTGACCTGCTAGGTGACAGAGACTGTTGTTTTATTCTGTCATGCTGTAGAAGCTGTGCTCTTGCTTGGGACTCTCAGGATTCCCTACCCGCTTTCACTTCCTTCCTCCCAGTATCAGTACCAGGACTGAAGGCAATAAGATCAGAAGCAAAATAGTTAAATTTGTACTGTCCAGTACAGTAGCCACCAGTCACATGTAGCTATTTAAATTAATTAAAATTAATTAATAAAATTAAAAATTCAGTTCTTCAGACACACTGGGCACATTTCAAATGTTTAGAAGCCACATGTGACTCGTGGCTGCCATACTGGACAGCTCAGAAATAGGACATTTCTACCCTTGGAGAAAGTTCTCTTGGTCAGTGTTAGGCTGGCCCATAAATGGACCTCACAGAGACCCTAGGCACCCTTAAAGTCATCCATGAGCAATGTGTGTGTATAAATCCATGTATGTATCTTTCTGGGGAGAAAGTTTATTATAGCCTTTATCAAGTTTACAAAGCGATCCCCAAAATGTACATCCTTCTATGAGTTGATTAGAATCATTGGAATCTTAAGACTTGAAGCGATCTGACTATAAAGGGTAGCACTAAATAGTGGATCTCCACCAGCCTCAGAAGTTAAAAATACTAAGGAGCCAGTTGTTCAATCAGGAAAAAATTAGAGAGTTTGGGGGTGAATATTGTAGGAGAGGGGTGGGGATAAATGGAAAATAAAAATAAGAACTAGTAAAACATTCTTGGTTCATGCTTTCTCTTTCTTTGTTATATGTTCCCCCCATATACACATCCAGATCTAATGTTTCAAAAGACTTATTTCTAAGATGAAGTATACTCATTACCAGCTAATGCATCACCCTCTTTAGAACTACACATCAGAGCTTCTAATGTACTAAGAGATAGCCAGTGCCACCACACCAAGTCAAGAGACTACTAGGCGTAGCTAATATGATTTCAAACCCAGGGAAGGAATGATACTTTGGTACCATAGCTCTTAACGGGTGAGTATGTGGGGGGCTCCCAAGATGACTTCCAGGATTCGTAATTCACTAGGAGGACACTCAGAGTTCAGCATATATAGTAGTCCCCGCTTATCCACAGGGGATATGTTCCAAGACCCCCAGTGGATGCCTGAAACTGGATACTACTGAACTCTACAGAGGGTGCCAAAAAAAATGTACACACATTTTAAGAAAGGAAAACTATTAAAATTGTAATACTCAATATATACCGATAACAAAAGATGAATACAAGTCACATTTGACTTCTGCAATTACAAGAGGTTCTCAAAGTGGTTACCATCAGCGTCCAGACACTTCTGATTACGGTGAACTACTGCTTGAGCAACGCTGACCAGTGTCCACTTGTATACATTTTTTTGGCACCCCCAGTACATATACTGTTTTTTCCCTCTACATACATACCTATGATAAAGTTTAATTTATAAATTAGGCATTAACAACAATAAGAGATTAACAATAATAAAATAGAACAATTATAATAACATACTGTAATCAGAGTTATGTGCATGTGGTCTCTCTCTCTCAAAATATACTGTACTCACCTTTTCACTTGAAGCACCTTACGGCTTTTCTTTGGCGTATCCAAATTGCCAGCATCACTATAGCACTTGGGGGCCATTATTCAGTAAAATAAGGGATACCTGAACACAAGCACTGTGATACGGCGACAGTTGATCTGATAACCAAGATGGTTACTGAGTGACTAAAGGGCAGGGAGCATATGCAGTGTGGATACGCTGGACAGAGGGATAGTCTGGTGGGGTTTCATCACACCACTCAGAACAGTGTGCAATTTAAAACTTATGATTTTCTATTGAATATTTCAGACTGTGGTTGACCATGGGTAACTGAAACCATGGATAAGCGGGGACCACTGTAGTCATTACTCTGCTATGATTTATTACAGTGAAAAGATACAAAGAAGATAAGCAGAGGGAACAGGTGGATGGGGCAAAGTCCAGAGGAAACTAGGCTCAAGCTTCCAAGTGTCCTTTCCCAATAGAGTCACACAGGACACGCTCAATTTAACACATGTGAACTGTCATCTACTAGGGAAGCTCATTAGAGACTCAGTGCCCAGGGTTTTTACTGGGGCCTGGTCACAAAGGCATCTCCTACCTACCACATAACCAAAATTCCAGACTTCCAGAAGGAAAGCAGGTGTTCAGCATAAACCACATTGTTTGTACAAATCTTAGACACAGCGAGCCACTGTTTTCAGGTAATGGTAGGAACCGGGAAATCCAAGTTCTAGTTCCAGGCCAACCAAGTAAACAGGTCTTTCCACGGCTATCAGTCTTAGGCTTATTAACTCTTCTGCACATTAGGTAATCAGTGGCCTGCCACCAGTGATACCTTCATGACACCCCAGTTTCTAGAGATGGCAAAAAGCTGGCCACCACTTTCTGTTCCGTCAACCATTTCAGACATCACTACTCTATTACAGTACTTTTTCTTGGTAAGGCCGGACAGCCTTAGAATGTCTCTCAGCACTCCGTGTAGTCCCTACCAATCCAGAGATAAAACCTGTGTCATTCGTAGTGCGTAACAACTATTCTGATACTTACACATGCCCTACAAGGAAAGGCCTACAAATTATGCCTGCTCTTGGATATTCGCATACATATAGGTAGTCACCGCTGTGAAGTTTAATTAGAATGGCAACTGGAAGCCTCTTTCAAGGGCCCAGGAGCTACTGACCCTCTAGACTTAAAAGGAAAAATGAGAAGTCTGACAGCAAGTGTTGTAGAGAATGTGGGTCATTAGGAACTTGTATTTGCTGATGGAATGTAAACAGGAGTGACTGTTTTGGAAAGCAATTTGGCATAATATCAAGGCTGAACGTTTGTGTACCCTGAAACCCTGGCATGCCCTATCTCTACGTATATAGCCAAGAGAAAACTTGGACATGTGCTTCAGACATATGCATATGACCGTTCAAAGTAGCAGTGTTTGTGATAGCAAACGTCTGGACAGGAGATTGGACAAATCCATTCTGATGTAGTCACATGGTGGGATATTATATATTGAATAGCAGTGAAAACAGATTAACTACAGCCACAAATAGTGGTCAGGAACAAAACCAAACAAAAAAAAATTTTTTTTTAAAGATTTTTATTGGGGAATTGAGGGGATGGGAACAGTGCTGGTATCCCAAGCCAGTTCTTAACCATCACGTCACTCGGCCGGCCCCAAACAAAAATATTTAAGCACATATACATTTGTGATGAAATATGTGTACACACACACACACACTTTTAAGCAAATGGGATGATAGTGGTTTTCTCGAGAATGACAGAATCAGGAGACTGGTCAGCTTTGGAGGAGAGACAAGGAAATAGAAAGGGGAAAATACACAGCTAGGAACAAGTTATTGGCAATGGTTTGGGTCTTGGGTTGTATGGTGGGTTTATGGGAATTTATTATATTGTGTAATAACATGTAATGATCTTGTGTGTGTATCAAATAATGTTTTTAAAGGTAATTGTTTTTCATCTTAAAATATTGTTCCTCATATATGATGGAATATGCCTGGTGTTTGTTATAGGCTGACTTGGATATCACAGAAATAAACAAGCTAACAGCAGAAGCTATTCAGACACCCCTGAAATCTGCCAGAAGTGAGTACTTTTCAAAATCCCTTGTTGAACGGGGAGAATTGCAGCCCAGGGTGGTTGGCTGGGTGCTCAGGGAGGCCTCACTGAGGGAGCCTCTTCCCTCCAAGGGCCTCGGTCTCATAAATCGAAAAATTGGATTTGGGCTGCTGCATTCAGGTAGTTGCATGCAGGACTGATACTAACAAACTCTGCAGACTGATGCGTGCGCGAAAGTGAGAGGAGAAAAAACAAAAGTTGTGCTGGGAAAACCAAACATGTTGCCTGTTTGCTTCCCCCGAGTAGGAGAGGTTAGCAAGATTGAGAGAGGTGTTATAAGACATGGCCACACCAGCTGTAATTCTCCCCGACATGATCAGAATGGTTGAGAGAGAACTGTAAGAGAACTAACTTTCTCAACATGTAATTCAGTGTTACTGGATTCAGTGGCCCATCCATGTAAAATTCACACACACACCCCACTCAGAGAAACGGTCTAATAGGGGAAGTCTGGGGGAAGCTGGTTGTACTTGGTGAGCATGGAGTCAAGCCAGGGGGCGCTCTCTTATGACTTAACGTCGTTGTCATTATCTTTGGTAGCTCAGTGCATCCAGCTCTTGTAAGGCCATCCCAGCCATGGCTTTCTGGGCTGCCCACCCAGGCACCTGCTCCCCTGGGCAGGGCCAGAAACACTGTCCCCTTCTTAATCCCACTTGCCCTCCGTCAGAAATGGCTTGTGTGAAGAAAGCATGGTGAGATTTTTCACTTTCCTAGTGCCATAGTCCAGTCCTGCCTCCCTGGGGTTATGATGTAATTGGACTTGAGTGTTCCTAGAGCTCCCCTCAGCCACATATTTACAATCTGTTGGGTCACTTTGGAGTATTTCTACATTTAGGTAATACTCGTTTCTCTCTTGAGTTCTACCAATTTTGTTTACTTGGGTTGGGGGTAGTCTTCTGATTTCACCCCTGGGAGCTGAACACACCAGGACCAATGTCAGCAAACGGTGAAAATGGTTTTTGTGTCCTCTTTCCCACTGCATTTGACTGCATTGTAAGCTATTTTTCTTAAAAAGGCAAATATAATTATATTCCTATTTAATATGTCAGGAAAACAATCCTAAGTCATTTAGTCTGCTCTCTCCCCCTATGATGAAGTGCAGACTTTTCTCTCTAGAATCCCTGCTTAGGACTGTCTAGCTCCTACCTGTACATATTTAGCAATGAGACACCTAAGCTTTCTTGCGGCATCTACATAAATAATATTTTATTATAGTGGATAATAATACTTATTATAATATGTCCAGTACTGTTCAAGGGGCTTTACATTCATTCATCCCACAAATACATAGACATAGGGACAATTCTAGGGTTTGTGGGTACAGGAATAAAAACAAAGACACTGTTCTTGTGGAGCACATTCCAGGTCTCATAATTCCCTGGAGACACGAAGTGACTCATCCCTTTTATAGATGAGGAAACCGAGGCACCACCATGAAGCCATGTGACCTACTTAGTGATAGGGACAGGCCTCAAGCTTACATCTGTTTAACTCCAGTCTACACTCTTTTTTTTTTTTTTTTAAAGATTTTTATTGGGCAATTGGGGAATGGGAACAGCACTGGGGAATTGAGGGAAGGGGAACAGACAAGTTGCTGTTCTTTTGTTCTTCAGTCTAGTTGTGGAGGACGTTGCTTCACTGGCCCAAGTTGGCACGGCACCATCTTTGTGCTCTTCCTGGGTGAGGCAGATCAGTCGCCGGCTTCTGGACGGCCGCTCACGGCGGCTGCTGGCCGCTCACACTGGCTGCTGGCTACACACGGTAGCCCATGGCAACCCGCTGCAGCCTACGTCATCGCAGGACACTCACGGCAGCCCAGCTCCAGGTTGAGCTGTTGTTCAGCATCTCAGCTGTGGAGGGCAGTGTCACTGGCCGTCATATGTGGGATCTGAACCGGGGCCCTGTGGCGTCCCAAGCCAGCTCTTAACAAACGTACCACTCAGCCGGCCCAGAGAGTCTACACTCTTAATCACAGTGCTGGGCTCCCACACAAGGCATCATATGGGGATTCTTAACCACTCTGGTTGTCTAAACCCTCTTTTTTTAAAAAACCATCTTTAAATTGGGTCTATTTCTTGATTACAGTCTAAGATTGCCTAAGTTTTATTTCCTTTCGGAAATGTGAATGCATGAAAGTTTATTCCCATGAGAAATACCACTCTGTTAAACTCTTTCTTACAGCACGAAAGGTAATACAAGTGGAAGAAATGATAGTGGAGGAAGAAAAAGAAGAAAATAGAAATAAAAAACCTCAAACAGCAAGAGTAAGTAGGTACTCATATTCAGGGCTGTGGGCTGACAGGTGAGGAAATACTTTACAGTGTTGCCTTCCCAGAGTTCAGTTTAGTAGGGAACCCCACTTACATGGCTAATAGAAGTGTGTACAAAGTGCGTAGAACGTAGAAGAGGAAGCTATTAGGTCTTACCTACCCCTTAGGACACGCCAGGCCTTCAGGCTTTAAAGGTGAGTGAGATTTCATTAGCTAGAAAGAAAGGGGAGGGAATTCCCGGAGGAGGTTAGAAAGTGTCCATCTAAGGAACAGGCGCAGTTTGGGATGGCTGGCATCCAAGCTCTGAAGGTCATCTGGGTACAGCAGGGGCCAGGTAACGAATGGGCGTGTGTGCAAGCTTGGGAGTTTCGGTTTCATCAGGTAGGTGATGGGAAGGGACTTGACCAGATCGCTATTTCAGAATAGTATTCAGGATAAATGAGAGAGGCCAAAAACCGGAGACAAGGACCCAGTTGGGAAGTTATTGGAATTCTTGAACTGAGGCTCTGGCCCTATAAAAAGAGATGGTTTGGAGATAAGATTGAAAAGGGAGAATGGGCAAGATTGGTGGAGGAAAGGAGGAGCCAGCGATGACTAAATGGTTTCAAGCTTAGGCAGCTGCCATCGGTGGGCTGTGGGACAGAGGAGGAAGACTGGTGCTGCTGAGGGTGCAGGGAGCAGTTCACGTACCAGTTGTTGACACGATGAGTGTTGAACACTTTTCCAGGACATCTAGCCTAGACAGAAACTTCAGCCTGGAGCTCAGGGAGGAGGAGGAGAGACACACTGACTCCCAGATCTTCAGGTGTTGTCCAGTGTGGGAGTCAGTGAGGTGCAGGGAGAGCATGGAGAGGAGGCTGAGGGAAGAGAGAAAGGAGCTCGTGAGGCCGACTGCAGAGGGGCAGCAGGGGAGGCGGGTCGATCTTGGAAGGTAAGGGAGGAGAGAATTGTCAGAAGATAAGGAGTAATTCTTGTCAGGTACCTCCGAGGACTCAGGAAGGGTGAGGACTGCCGAGGGTTCCTTGGATTGGGCGCCTGGGCTGCCTTTAGTGACCTTTGTTGTTGGTACACTTTATGTAAAGGTGTGTGTGAGGGGGTGACCAGCCAGGCTGCAATCAGCTCAAAAGAGATTTACCCTTAATCTTGGCCAAAACCCTCTACTATTTTGAAGACCAAGCCAGGTTTAAGTCCTTAATTGATCAATTATGTTGAATTATTTAACTCACTGAATTCTGCGAGATAACCTTTTTGTGTTCAATGTTAGTTTTCTTTTCCAGAGCTGGTCCCCCTGTCCCTTACTTGCCCTTTCCTGGGAAGGCTTTTTGTAACCTCAATTTCATTTCATTGTGACTTCAGGTCAAAAGGTGTCCTCCATCCAAGAAGAGAACCCAGTCCATACAAGGAAAAGGCAAAAGCAAAAGGTAACGGGTTTCCCGAATTCAGCTGTGTGTTGTTGGTTTTATTGGAGGGCCACATTCGCCGGGGCAGTGAAAGGAGGGGAAGGGGCTTCTGCGACTCGTGTTCTAGAGAGTTTAAAGCGATCGTGCCCTTGAGTATCTGAACTGAAGGGCCTCTAGAGAAATGATCTGACCCAGCACCGCCTCCAGCTCTTCTGCCCACGTTCTCTACCCTCCCCCACTTTTTAAAACATGCACACGGAGCATGAGGCCCAGAAACATGGTAAGTGCTGCCTATTTTGTTTAGTTGCCTAACAGTGTATGTACAGAACTACCCCATGGTCAGTCACAAAGTGGCTGTCACTTATCGCTAGTTAGTTCCTTGAGATGTCCCTCCTGGTCGTGCTAAATAAAGAATCACCATGGGCTTAACCTAATTGTGCTCAGGAGTGGGGGCTACATCTCAAACAAGCTTAGGAAAGTAGTCATGGGGGGCGGGTATCTGTGAAGGAGTAGCCTCCTCCCAGTTCGCCCTGAGCAGTGGTGACTGCCTGGCAAGGGGACAAGAACTCCAGCTGGAGCGCCTGCAGCTGTTGAGAGGCTGTCTCCTGCCTCTCGTTCCATTAGCTTGATTGAGAAGTCGGATTCTGGAGGTAGACAGCTTAGGGTCCAAGCTCTGGCTCTCTTAATTGGCTGTGTTTTCTGGGGCAAGTTGTTTCAAGTCAGTGAGTTTGTGTATCTAAATGGGGATCATAATGGTGCTTCTCATAGGGTTGTTGGGTTACCCGAGTTTATGTAGGCGCCCAGAGCAGTATCTGACAAAGTCAGTGCTCTCCGAGTGTGACCTGCCTCTGCTGCTGCTGTCATTGGACCTGAGCTGGTGCACCTACTGGCTATTTCTTACCTGTAGGTCAAGCAATTACAACACTATTACCCCAGCTGTGGGCCGGATGGAGTTGTCTATGGTGAAACCAACGCCAGGACTGACTCCCAGGTTTGACTCCAGGTGAGTACTGAGAGCAGTGCTTGGATTTCGGTGGGAGCCCCACATTTAACATTAGTCTGTAAAAAAGGGTGTTTAAGAAAACTGACTCCGTCTCCAGGGAAGCCCTCTCAGAGGAGGGGAATCATCTGGGCTTCCCAGTGTTTGCCTCCCCGGGGTGCAGGTTCATCTGCTTTCAGCCACAAAATCATTATCAGCTGAGAGGGAGACATGCTGTTACTGATGACCAGGAGGCCTCCAGTGACTTCTGGTCCTTCTGATTCTGATCCAAAGCTTTCGGGGGTTGTTTGTTTGTTTGTTTTAGTGGATAGGCATTCTCCTATACCCTTGGTGAAAACTGACACCACCTTTTGGGAGACAAGTGTACAAAAGGATGTTCTTGCAACATATTTAATCTCTTCCATGAGGCTGGTCAACTAAATAGGACATGCTGTATAGCCAGTTAAAAAGAACTAGATCCGTATGTGCTGACGGGAGGAGCTTCAGGATTACAAGCATCTCCAAGCAGTTGCAACACAGTATGTCCCAGATGACCCCCTTTGCTTTCAGACTCAGCAAGTTTGTGGGAGGATGCATCAAGAATTGAGAGTGCTTATCTCCGGGGGGGGGGGGGGAGAACTTAATTTCTACTTTTCATTCCCACTCTTCTTTGTTTCTTGGGGTGGTTTTTTTCTGCTTGTTATACACACACACACACACACACACACACACACACACACACGAATATACAGCGAAGGACATTTAGGGGAAAATAGGTAGAACCATTTTAACTGTCTTGAGAAAGTTAGTTTGGGAATTAATGATATAACCTCTAAATTGTCCTCCTGTGATCCTCGGGAAGCACTTAGCTACTCTTGTAAATACGTTGACCATAGTTTATCTCTTGCTTGATGGATGGATGGATGGATGGATGGCTGGATGGATGGCATTCATATGGAGCTTTTGACCTAAAATGTATGTGGATAAGAATTAGCTTTCGCTAGATGTATGTTTGGTAATTACAACCTCCCATCCCCAGCTGTGTTTAGTCATTGCTGCTTAAAAAGACTTTTCCCCCTAAATTCAGAATGTGCCTTCTTAGAAATGTGTGATTTGAAAACTGCCGCTTGAGGCCAGATGGGGTTCAGAAGGGCTTATAAAGCCTGGGGTCATTGGCTCCGCCAAGCCATCTTTACGGAGACTCGCCCACTGTATAGGGTCTTCAAGACCCCAGGCCTGCGCACTCCAGCAGCCCGAGAACGGATTTACAACATCTCAGTGAATGGCAGCCCTCTTGCCGACAGCAAAGAGATCTTTTTGACTGTGCCGGTGGGAGGTGGAGAGGTAAGTGTTTCGGAGGGAAGCCGGGCCACAGTGTGCTGCTTGGTCAGCATTTCTTTGCCTGGTCTGTCACCCGCTTCTCTCCCCCAAAGTCCTTGTGGTTGCGTGGATTCTGAGCTCCACACGTATGTAGGTCTCAGAACCCAGTTTTCTCTCCCTGGTTACAGGCCCAGACTAGGAAGATCCTTGCCAGCGTTCCATTTGTTCATTAGCTAATGTTTATGTACCTGTCTTGTAGCAGGTCCAAGGTGTAGAAGACACTCCTGCCCTTGAGAAGCAGTTCAGTATTCAAGATAGGCTCATAATTAATATAATATCACATCGTGTGACGTGTGCAGTAATGGAGATATTAAAGGGAGTGCGTGGGGGGCACTGTCCAAAACGGGGAGCATGAGCTGTCTCCTCCACTTGGTATAACTTTGAGGGGTTTTGAAGCAGGCTGAGTACAGCAAGTTGCTGACCTCACCTTCTGGGAGGGAGGGTGATGTATCTCAGATGTGGGCTTCAGGGCATTTCTAAGCTGATGTGCATGTCCTGGTACTGGGCGATGCAGCCACTGGCCAATGTCCTTAGAAACACAGGAACAGCCGGTGTCCTGTCGGCCTTGCCTCACCCGCCCAAGTGCTGGACACCAAGGGGCCCCCCGGGACATGCTGGGCTGCAGGCGGGAGGTTCCTGCCCCGAGAGACCTGTCTGTTGAACCCCCCCTGCCCTCCACACAGAGCATGCGGTTACTGGCCAGTGACCTGCAGAGGGTCGACATCGCACACCTGGACCCAGAGTCCTTGGGGAACATTCAGCAGCTCTCCGTAAGTCTCATTCGTCTCCGCGCCTCGGACGCCTCCGACGGCTTTTTGTCTTTGGGGTCTAGACTAATGCTGTATACTTACACCTGTATTGCCTCCTTTCCCGCTTACCCTATTTACCCAGCAGCAATCCTGTCCCTAAGTTGATGTTCAGTTTCAGTCCATTCCAGAGCACCTGCCACCAAAGTTCCGCAACAGAATCAAACGTCTGCCTCATTCAGGCAGTCGGTGCCCGTGCGTGAGGGCACAGTTGATCTCCAGGACCTGAACCTTCCTCGCAACAGTTCAGGAATGGGGGAGGGGCTTGTTACCAGGAATCCCACAGAATCAAAGCAAGCACAGAACAGCCAGGCCTCAGGACCGTGGGGCTGTCAGCAGCGGGAGTTTATGGAGCTCTGCTCTGGTGCACCAGCCCCTTCAGAACCTCGCCGTCTTGGGCCCCGTGCACTCATTTCTTTTGCACTTCATCCCTCATCAGATGACCTTCTCCACAAAGGCGCTTGGTTCTGCTCTCCCTAAACATTGGTTTGTTGTGGCTTTAAGTAGCCACACTTGTCACTCTATTGCTCCATTGCCTAACACTAACTGCCCAGTTTCGTGTCTTCACTTAAATTCTCAAGAGGAGGAATTTAATTGGCTCAGCTTTGGTCAGATGGGCCTCCCTGGTCCAATCTTGGGTGGTAGATGGGAGCACTTAGTGCAAACATGGCTGCAGTAGGCCCACCCTTCTGGGGGGGGGCGTCTGTGAAGGGTACAGCCAAGGACAGGGACAAGGGCGGGGCTGCTTTTCCAAACATGTCCCACTAAACGTGGTGAGATCACACACACACCCAGCCACCCAAATCTGGTGACATCATCAAGCTGGACCTACAGCATTACTCTCCCCAAATGATACTTCACTGTCTCATTTGAGCTGTTATTTTGCTCCTTTGTTCAAATGAGAAACAGATTGAAAAAGGTGAATTAGTTTGTGATACAAATAGAGAATGGAGGGCTGATTCCATCAGGCATCCGGGCCCCACGCCCAGTGTTACCTGGGTAGACTCTAAGTGGCTAACTGGCAAGCATACCCAGTGTCATCTTCTCCAAGTGACCTTCTCCTTTTCTTTTTAGAGCCGTCTTGTCCAAATCTGCAGCAGCATACGGACTCACAAATGAGGCTTCTAATCCAAGAAACCATACTTGACAGGATGGATCTTCCGTGGGCATTTCTGGGACCTTCTTCCCTTAAAGCTTATTGAGTGTTTGAGTGTGAAGTTCCAGAGCAAGGAGTGGTGTTCCTCTTGGAGAATTCGGGAAGTGAGGACACTGGTCCCCCATCAGTTAGATAAAGCTTTGCTATTCACACCTCCCTGTCCAGGCAACAAAGACACTGCCTGCTGCGTCCATTGCCATGAAAGCTTCTTGTCCTCCCTGCTGAATTCTCCTTTCTGCTCGCAGAGCTGCAGGCTGCTGCCTGCTGTAACTCAGCGTCCTCTGCCCTGCCCTGATCCCAGTGGAGGGGGCATGGAAGACCCTCGTGTTCCTGGGAAGACTGCCTACTCACCATCACTACTGTGATGAGGATCACAGAACCCTCTGCGTCTGGTGTCGCTGCTCTGTTTGTGCTTGAAGCTGGGAGGTTTGGGCTCAAAGAAGTGAGTTCTGGGCCATGAAAGGGCAGATCCAGAAAGCTGGGAGGAACCATACAAATGGGGCCAGGACAGCGGGACAGGATGAGTCACAGCAGTGACCACAGCAGGATACACCTCCCCCTCCCACACCCATCCCCTCCTCCTGTGGTGGGTACTCAGTGGGGCTTTGGAATCGGATTGCTATGCTCAGTAGTTTTTTTCAGGCTGGCTTATGGAACGGTGTTTTGTATTTATCTGTATACTGAAGACCAAAAATTGGTTTGGAGGCAGTTTCCATGTCTTGCTCCTCTACCTCTCCATTTAGTGGGAATTTGGGTAAGGAACTGTGGGACTTAGATGAGTCTGGGTTTTTACATGACTGGCACATAGGAACTCTAAGCTCTCCATGGTCCAGTGGTCCCTGCCAGGTCTGTAGACTCTGCAGAGAGCACTTCTCTCATGGGCTTCACTGGGGCAGCGGGTGTAACTGGTATGGTGGTCTCATTCCACGTGTGGGCTGTGTCCTGGGCATGGACCAGTTCCTCACCGTCAGCATAGACCCCTGTGTGCCAGTCGGCGCCTCTGCCCCCAAGAATCATGTGATTGTGGTCCAAGAATATGGGAGCTGAGCGCTCCCACCCCAGGTTTGAGAGCACAGTTCCCTCGTGTGGCTCTTTGGTGTACTGTGTATTAATTTGCTGCGTGACCAATCTAGTAATCCAGTCCTATTTAAGTTGTCTTCTTTTCAGGTTGTTTCATTCTCTCTTTCCTGAGACTTTTGTACATACCGTTTTCCTCAGCAATGGTGTCTCTAAGCTGATGTCTTCTAATCAGCTACTGAAAGGTATCTTTTTTCAATAAATTGTGGGCTTGCTTTTAATCAGTATTCAGCCTGCCTGTCATCTCCAAGCTGTGCTACCTGGACTAGAGGCAGTGTTGGAGCTGAAGCTATTAGAGCGGGGGTCTTTGAACAACTACCTTCCTCACAAGATGCGAAAATCTCTACTTCAGGCAGAATCTCTGATAGCGGAAGAGAGGGCCCTCACCCCAAAATCCGGGACATAGGTAATCTTACCCCCAGAACTTTTCCCCCCAATACCTTTGTTCCATGAGCTAGCAGTTGACATCTGGGAGGAAAAAACTTCGGGTATCTATACTTCACCTATACAGTCAAGTCTTGGCTGGGAACAGAGCGGGGGCACAAGGAATTCAGTGATCCTGCCTCTCACCTCCCCAAGTTCTGGGGCTCTGGCAGGTCCACCTTCCCAGAATTCTTTCTACATTGAAAATGATCAGCATGGAACTCATGGTGGCGAGAAAACCATCTGAGGTCACTACTTAGCCAGGTCATCGGACTGACAAAAGTTTATGAAGAAGAACCCTTTGGTCAGTGACAGCATTTGGAATAAAAGTTACTCATTTCAAGTACTGAAGTCCCCAAGCCTGAGGCTTCTACCTGGTGCAGTGTTAAGAGCCTGACATCAAGGAAACACTTAGGATCCAACACGCTTTACCCAGAACCAGGCTCGCCCTGTTGCACTCCATTTGCTCCGCTGCCCAAAGGCCCCTAATTGTAGGAGGTGTGTAGTGTGTAGCAGGTGCCTGATAAAGGCTGGTCGTGTGAAGAGAGAGCAGTCCGTTCCATATAAGGGGCTGCCTTGGAAGGGAATGAGGTCCCCATTCCAGGATTTAAAGCATGGGCTGAACTGTCACGGCTGGAATGTTGCAAAGAAAATTGAAATCTTACTGCCAGCCCACAGACATACTTTCAATTTTCACTATTTGGAGTTTTTTCAAATTAGTTGCTAACAATTTAAAAATGGTGAGATTTCGGGCCAGCCGAGTGGCGTGTTGGTTTAGAGCTGGCTTGGGACGCCAGAGGGCTCCGGTTCGGATCCGACATATGAGGGCCAGTGACACTGCCCTCTACATCTAAGATGCTGAACAACAGCTCAACCTGGGGTTGGGCTGCCATGAGTCGCCAGCGATGGGGCTGCCATGAGTCGCCAGCGATGGCGTAGGCTGCAGCCCCTGCTGCAGTGGGTTGCCATGGGCTACCGTGTGTAGCCAGCAGCCAGCGTGAGCGGCCGGCAGCCATTGTGAGCTGCGAAGAGCCTCCCCGTGAGCGGCCATCGAGAAGCCGGCAACTGATCTGCCTCACCTGGGAAGAGTGCAATGATGGTGCCAACTTGGGCCAGTGAAGCGACGTCCTCCACAACTAGACTGAAGAACAAAAAGGACAGCAACTTGTCTGTTCCCCTTCCCCCAATTCCCCAATAAAAATCTTTAAAAAAAAAAAATTGCGAGATTTCACAAAAACCATTCTAGCCTCCAAAAATAAGATCTGGCAACATGGGCCACATCACCTGAAGGTGAGTAGCAGCTTTCTTTGGCCCTTAGAGAACCCTCTCCCCATTTTAAAGCACTCCCTACTATATGACTGTTACGTACCTCATGCCTGTGGGCAGGCAATTCACTTGTACCCTCTGTTGTGTGTGTAAAGCAAATAAATGCAGAGCAGCTCTGGGTTGGCGGGAGGGTGGGGCCTGGAGTTCAGAACCCTAGAATTTCAATAAAAAGTTTCATTCTTTGCCCTACAAGCCCCCTGATCTTTCCAAAAGCCCTACTTGGTGTTCCCTATTGAAAGAATTCCAAATATATTGCCTTGTGAAGAGTTAAATTATTCACAGGAAGAGCTAGTTCCTGGGGAGGGGGGGGTGATAGAACATCCTAAGCATTGTTCGTAGTATCAGACACCTTTTAGCTCAAAGGAACTACTATCCCCATCACCAACGATGAGTTCATGATGTGTCCTACATCCCTGAAAAACAAAGTATGTCTCAATGTCCACAAAGGCACAAGCCCTGATAAGTATTTGCTTTTTCTAACTTTACACAATGACAGTCACCCATACCGAAAATTGAGCATGACATAACATGTTGAAGATTTAATAGATAATTCATGTGGCTTCACAAAAAGGAGAGGCACTATAAGTGATCGATCAGAACCAGGGCCTACACTGAGCTCCCATGTAACAGGAGTCTGGAACCCAACTGACTTTGGCTCAGGTGCCTTCTCTTCCTTTACAGGATTTGGCATTCTCCCAGCCCTTCATCATCCCCCCCTGCACCACCTCACCTATTGAACAAGTCCCCTCCCCCCTCAACTCCCTCCCCACCAGCTGTAACGGCAGTTCCTGCCTTCTATACTTTGCCATCATCTTCCCCTTAGTTGATATTAGCACCTATGTAGCTGGCGTTTTCTGGTCCTCGGACAGTGGCCATGGTGGAGGACATAACATACCCTTGGCACCCAGATACCAGGAAGAGCCCAGCTCCTCATCTGCAAATTGTCACTGCCCACAAGCACATGCTGCGTGTCACAGTATGCCAAGAGCCATCAGGATGAAGGCAGACCGCAATTTCCAAGGAAACCACCCCTTCAAATCTGACGCAAAGGTCATGCTGGCAAACCTACTTGTCTCAACTCTCCCAACAGTGCCCCAGCTGATTGCCAAGAAGTGTGGTGATGGAGGGAGGAGAAGGGGGCTAGATGGAGCCTCACTGCGGGGGATGTAAGGTGTCTGCAATGGGAAAACAAATTTGGTTTGGGTTTTTTAGTTTTTCTCTTCAACGTACACGAGCAGTCTTGGTCCAAACATATTCTTGGGGCGAGACGGAGATACCCACGCTCTGCTCACAAGATGCTGGTAGGCATCATGAGGTCACCCGTGAACAGGAGTTTCTGACTTCTCTCTGTTGCCCCAAGACCCCAGGGGGCCCAGCTACTAACATGGGGTAGGGAACATCCTGAGGAGATGCAGGGCTTTCTCGAGATACTGGCAGACACGCAAGTTTATATGGCAAAGGTACAGAGATTTCGGGAGAGGGTGCCGCACTGTAAGTTTTACTCGCCTCCTGAGCAGTGTGATATAAGGAGCTGAGTCCAGAACTGTCACTGGTCAATAAGGGCAGTGAACTCACCACCTGGTTTCCCCAGGGGCCTTCTCACACCTCCCCAGGGCCTAGGTCAGGCAAAGCCCTCCACTGGACTCCACAACACCTAGGGGGAGCTATTGCTGGGGGAGCTTTCATGGCAGGGACAGTCTACTTCGTCTCTATGCAGAGAGATCTCAGACACACTCTGGAGATCCCCTCAATGGGCTGGGGAGGGAACTCTCCCACACAAGCTACTTAGTGGTTAAGCAATTGTAACAGAGAGGCACCATATCACAGACAAGTTTTTATTACTTTGTCCTGCATATAGAACCCAAGAATTATAAAAACATCTCCAGCATTGAGTCAAAGAAACCACCTCCCCAACCAGCCCCTTCCCTTCCTGGGTGGGCTCAGGTGGGGGTGTTCAGGGGTTGCAGGCCACTTCCTTGTGTCCAGTGAACAAGTTCCATATAAAAATATATCTGTAGAGGGCTCCCAGAGAGCCATCAGCCTGCATCACACCAGCACCCGTGCAAGGCTGAGGCCTGGGACCCCTCAGGATTCTGGGACCTCTCTCCTCAGCGGAGGGAGATCTACCCTGGACACCGAAGTCCTGCCCACAGGAGCCCCTCTGCAGAACAGCTGGGGAGGGGAGGGGAAGGGACTTTGACCTTTAGAGCATGACTGATGGAGCTGGAGCTGGAGACGAGGCTCCCTCCACCCAAGACTGGATGCTAGTCCCATGCCGTGTCCTCTCCAGGCCTCCCAGGGGGCAGGGGGTGGGGTGCAGAGTCTGAAGGGCACCTGGCACTGGAACCCTCCAGCTCTGTCAAAGGTGGGAGCAATAGCTCAGTCTCCCCGGTACCCTCAAAGTCAGTGAACTTGGGCAGTTGCCCAGGAGATGGGGACGCAGGGGGCTGGAGGACTCTAAGTAGAGAAGAGCTGCCGCTGGCAGGGCCAGGCCAAAGGCACTGCTGTGAGGCACCATCCCCACCACGGGGTGCTCCCCAGAGATGCGCTGCACCTTCCAGCTGCCAGGCTCCTTCTCAGGCTAGCCCCTCTGCTTGGACTCCTCTTGTTCTAGGCTCTCCCTCTTGGCCTGCTAAAAACTCTACCCACCCAAAGAAGGAACTCTCGCCCACCTTTAAGACCCTGGTCAACTTCCCAGTCTGTCTCTCAGCCAAGAAGCCTTTCCAGACACCCCTCATATGCACAGATTAAGACGGTGTCCATCTGCCCCTCAGGCCACCAGCCCACAGTCCCGCGGTTTCCTTCGCGGCCCTGGGGCATTATTGGAAGGCACCCTTGTGGTGCCTCTTGGTGCCTGAGCTCATCTTCCGACCTGGTCTGAGCCCTACAAGGGCCAACTCCGGGTCTCATTCATCCCTTTCCTCCAGCCTTTGGCCCTTCCTTCCTACCCAACATACACGGCGAAACCCAGCGCAGGCATGTCAGGGGTGACCTGGAAAGACTTAGTCCCCACGGGTCTATCTAGATCCAGCTGCCTTCCTGCCAGCCTACGAAAGCCTGACCTCACAATCACCACCACTTCTGGAGAGCCCTCCTGGATGAGGAACTCTGGAGTCAGCTAAGTGCACCCACTTCTGCCAGAGGCCTGCAAAGCCAGAGAGAGGAGGCACTCTGTGGAGGCTGGGTGGTGGCCAGGGCATGGAGCTCCCAACAGGGGGTCACCTCACAGTACCTCTGGCTGCCTCAGGAAAGAGTGATGGTGTTGCAGGGCAGGACCAAGGCCTCCCTCTCCAGATCCAGCCTCACCCCTAGACGGGGAGCTGGCCGACCTGGTTCTAACCCAGGCCTGGTCCTAACTCCTCACCGGGCCTCGGTTTTCCCCATCTGTACAGTGAGGGTTGGACCAGCCTGTCAGAGAGAGAAGATCCATCTCTGAGAATCTCTTCTTCACCGCCCCCCAAGTCTGGACAGC